TTATTATTCTAGTTTCTTTTCAGCAATTTATTTATTTATTTATTTATTTTTCTTTTTTTATTTGTATTCTGTGTTTGATTATTGCTAATTGATTTGATATCCTCGGGTTATCGGGCGTGGGCCTAGCCAACCCACATCCGGAAGTTCGGGGGTATCACATGACTGTCTCAATTTATAAACACAATCCCCTAAAAGTGAATGTAATAAGTAAAATTGACCTCCCTCCAAAAATCGCCTTGTTTCCTATATAAAAGATATCACAAGCAAACTTCTTCCTGATAGAAAACTCTAGTATACGAGTTTGACTATTTACGTAAATTTGTTGGCGCCTCCAAACCGTGCGCAAACCATTACAAAAGAGAGTATTGTATCCTTAAATGAAGTTAAGGTCAGATTGTATAACCCTTGCTTCCATTTCAAACCAACAAGTGAAAGGTCTGTATGATATAATATACAAAATCTCAAACGTTGTCACACTAACCTCCTTATGCCAACAATATGACAGACAAAAATCTGAAAAGCAAGTAAACACTTCCAATTATCTACGAAAACCTAGGATATACGCCTCAACATATCCTTTATGGTCTAATTTAATCTCTCTATCAATTCCTTCGTCTAGAGATATGAAGCAAAGCTGTTTGATGGCCGTCGATTTACCATAAGCTTAAGAATGTGCAATTTAGGCGAGGGCCAAGTTTTACATTTATAAAGCCACTACTACCTTTACTAAAAATATAGCTAGGGCAAGTAGGGATCGTCCCAAGGGATTGGAGTCGTACTTGAATGTGGAATCGCAACTAGGGTTAGTAGGTCGAATGATCAAACAAGTGATTGGTTGGTTGTTTAAACTAGAAAGCAACTAAATTAAATTAAGTAAGAATGCAATGCTAAAGAGAGTAAGTAAGGGAGAGAGAGATCTTGAGGTTTAGAGATCACCACCAAGTAATGCACTTCTATATCATTGACAAGTGATTAATGAGGGCAAATAGTGGGTTGCAATAATGGTGTGTATGTATTTGGTTGATTCAATAAGCAAGGATGACTAGTTAAGCATGCATTGTCTAAACATCATGTGAAAGGCACAATATATCTAAGTTATGAAGCATATATTGTCTAAACAACATGTGAAAGGCACAATAAATCAAAACAAGTTATTAATCCTTTCATTAAGCTCACAATCCAAATACAACACAAGGATAGAGACATATGTTAATTGCATTCACAAGCTTGGATCATCAAACAACATGCATAGATTGTCCTCCCATTTAACACTACACTACAACTACACTACATCTACACTACAAGCATGAAAATAAACTAGGGGAGAGGCACAATCCATCAAGAGGTAAGCATGAACCATCAAGAGAATCAGAAAAGCATTCTTTTAAGCACAATGTTTTGACAATCTCTAAATCTATAGCATCAATGCACATAGACATGCATCAATAACACAAAATCTAGAGATAAACACATGAACATCTATTCTAGTATGCATAGACATATGGATAGAATGAAATGACCAATTGGAAGCATTAAACCACATAAATCATTGAATAAATAAGATCTATATATATCAAAGTGTCAAAACATCAATTACAACACTAATCCCTCAATAATACACACGATTAAGATATAGAAAGCATGCTTGGGGCTAACTCTAGCCCCAAGAGGATGTCTAGCCACTCATGGTGATGATGCTCCAACCCTCAAGGGCTAACTCCATGGAAGAGGTTTGCTCCTTGTTGATAAAGATCTCCAATGGTGTCTCTAGCCTCCTCCTCCTCTAAACTTCCTCTCCAAGAGATGATATGAAAGTAATGTTGGCTCTCTATTGAAAAAACAATCCTTATCCTTATATAGGTAGGTCAAAATAACACCCAAAATGAGCTAGGGTCGTGCACACAATATTCCCCAATGATTGGATAAAGGTCTACTTTCAATGAGTTGGAATTTTAACTTTTTCACACTGGAGGAAGTTCGATCGATCGAAAGTAAGTGAGATCGATCGAACTTAGGCTGGATCGATCCAACTGGCTGAGCTTTTTGGAAAAAGACAAATTCGAGATATTTATGGGAAAAGGACAAAAGTGGTTGGTGGGTGGTACAGCCGTGGATAGGATCAACATTTGGATAAGGACAAAGGTGTTCGATCGATCGAAGAATAATGTTGGATCGATCGAACTTTTGGACTTAAGTGCTTTGGGTCAAGGCTTGGATCTATCTTGAAGTGCTGAGATCGATTAATGTTCGATCGATCGAACCTTGGACTTGGATCGATCGAACTTGCTTCTTTGCTTCATTTTGCTTCTTTCTTCCTCCACTTTGTTCATTTCTTTGTTCAATCCCAGAATTGCTTCAATTACGCTCTTATTTGGCTCAGTTTGCTTATTTTCGGGATAAGTGCCTGAAAATGGAAATAATACGAAATCAATCTAAAACGGTGAAGTAAGATAGATAAAGGTACTAGAATGCCTAAGCTTAAGGGGTTTAAATACGCACTTTTCAGTGCTCATCACACCCCCAAACTTAAATATTGCTAGTCCTTAGCAATGAACTAGAAAGTAAAGGAATGAAATGAACAACTATACAACTATAACTAGAAAGCAATAAATGGATAACGCCACTTTCGTAGGGAACACGATTGCATTTAGCATATGCAACAAGCCTTTTAAACCCCTAGGCTACCCCTAGTGGACGAGTGAAGTCTCGTGAGGGTTTCCAGAAATGGTACCCACAAACATTAAGCTCATTTTTGTCAAAAGAGGTACCAATATTGCAAACAAGCATTGGGGGAAAACTACCTCAAGTATGCAATTTTTCAACCCTTTCCAAACAATCTCTCAAAATTTCAATATCAAGCAAGCAAGTATGGTCCTCCACACATTAAGAAAATGATCATGCAAATCAAAACAACTCTAGAATTCTTTTGAGTGGACCGGCATCAATGTGTTACCATCTTAGCCAACTAAAGAATTAATTACATCCTTACCATCAAACTAGCACACAAATCTAGTCCCGATCATCAAGACAAAAAAGTGGACCTTTTATTAAAGCTTTATTGTTCTAGGTGCGCTTATTCTTTTCACTTATTTTTTTTATTTATTTTTTTTTATAGGATCAAAGATGGAAGTATAGTGCAATGTATTGATCTATTAAGCTTTCTAGCGATTCATGAGATCAAACATTAGGTCAACGACTCCCAAACCAGACGACTTTAGGGCATTAGGCATTCAAATACCCATACGGACTTACAAGCTCAAATCAACTAGGCTACAAATCAAGACAACCTCCATCTAATCATTTCCTACTTCTCACCTCTTTGGGAGAAGTCCTCACTTTTTATTACTTTTGTTTTTTTTTTTTGAATAAAGTTCAATTATTAACCTAGAGTTTGGGCCCTCCACCTTTCGGCGCGAGAAGTTCAGTACTTGATGAGGCTAGAATCCCAGCTACTTAGTGAAAAAGGGGTTGTTATCCACCTTTATCAAGAATGAAAGCTTTCAATGCACTACTAGCTCAATTGGGATATAACCAATTCAATAATCAACAAAGCATATACCCCACAAATGAATGCTAGTGTTCGCCTGTGCTAGTGTAGAAGAATAGAGTGAATCTCAAAACAATCACAAAATCAAGATGATGTAGACCACAAGTGCAAACAAGATATCAATCTTTCGAAAAATTTACTCCTAAATGGCATTCATAAGGCATACAAGGAGTATTGGACTCTCAAGTCAAGCAATTTTTAAATTTTAAGCAATATAGTCCTTAGAAGATCAAAATCATAGCTAGGTATGGACCAATCATAAAAATATCCCTCAAATACACGAGTCATGCTAAAAGTTTGAATTTTAAACTATCACTATAGAGTACCATTCCCCCCAAACTTAAATTGCACAATGTCCTCAATGTGCAAAGAGAACAAAGGAAAGAGTATACCAGTGCAACTAAGCAAGAATGATCGGGACTGAAGTATCCGAAGTGGGTGGCATGGCCCCCCCAAACTTGGGATGAACTGTGGTCCTGAAAATTGGCACTTAGATAAACTTATCAGATAACAAAATGGGATAATCAGTGCACAGTGAACATGCAAGTGTAAATGGGATAAACAGAAAATGAAATGAGAAAAGGTATAAGGGTGGTCCTGAAAATTAGGTAGCACTCTCTCACTGAAGTCACTGTGATGCACCTGATGGAGTCAAACATACTGATATGAGAATACAATCAGATGACATCCATAACAAAAATAGATATATAAAATAGAAAAAGTGCAGGTATAACAAAAATATCAAAGCTGACAGACCGGCTGTAGAAATAATACAGTAACAATAATAAAGTATCAAAAGGAAAGAGGGATCATAAGATAGAAAAGAGTGGGAGCTCAGGAAGATGAGGTAGGACGGGCAAGTCTGGCTCTGCGGATGTCTCTAGATAAATCTCTGAACATGGTCGCGACATCCGTGCGGAAGGTAGCAAACTCCGCTCTGTGGGCCATGAGGTCAGCTCTGATGGCAACAACAGTGTCCTCGAGCGTCTGCAGACGCACTCTGAAGCCGGGGGTCAAGTCTGGTATGGAAGAGTCAGAAGACAGCTCCTAGGTCTACTCCTGCTCGTGGATAGGTGACTCGGCTAGAGAATGTTAAACTGCGTCATCCGCTGAGTGCTCCAAGTCAATGTCTATATCAATGTCATCATGCTCGGCAGCTGGATCGACTGGTGCATCGTCCGCTGCGGGAGCTACTGCTGTTGGCTCTACTGGTGCCGGGGCTGCCTATGCTGCTGCCTCCTCTTCTAACTCCAGCTCTGCAGTCGCCAATACGGTATGGGTTTGCAGGTGAGTGATAATAGCTCTATAGCTCTTGTCCTAGTCCTTCTTGAGGAAGTGACAGGAACCTCTCTCGGGGTCCTCCTGCTGGTGGATGGGATAGCGCTGGTCTATGAGAATCTGGGTGATGGCTGAATGGAAGAGACTTGGCCCTTCCGGGCGCCTCCTTGCTGACGTACTCATCGTAGAGCTTCCTCATCACACTCCAGATAAGCGTAGGAATAGACACCCAGTGGCCGATATAGAAGGCGTACAGGGCTTCTAGATAGTCACCCTGCCTCTGAATCTTATGTCCGGCCATGTATATGTTCCGGAAAAGCACAGAATCGATGAACCAAAGGTCGTCTGGAAGATATGTGCGGGTGACGAAAGTCTCGTCACCGGCATGGTGACCTGTAAGAAAAATTGCCATACCGGCGTAAGAAGGCCTGTGGAGCCTAGGACATGTCTCCTGTAGCTCAGCCGGGCACCAATGTGGATAGCGAGTCGAACGAGCCAGAGTATCCACTGTAATGGTGATCTCATGGCTATTAATAAAGGTGATTAGCTCGGCTGTAGTGTGCGGCGACGGTCGGAGGTTCTGGTAGAACAACCGTACTAGTCACGGGTAGATCGGCTCTATGACTGGGGCAAGAATAGCTGAGAGGCCCCGCTGAATGATGTCCTGGTAGGCAGATTGAGTCAGCACCGATCTGGAGAAGAATGCAGTGTCGAATGCTGACTCGTGGTCGATAGTCATGTGTGCATATCGAGGTGCGAGTCTGTCGCGCTGTAAAGGAGCTGGCTGAACAGGTGGAGCTGGCTGAGCTGGATGCTCAGCGCCTCTATGTGGTGGAGATGATGATGGAATGAATGCTGGACAAGTTGGCGACTGGGGTAGAGTAGGGTGCAATGGCTCCTTTGTATGGGAGGGCTGCGCAGTCTCCTCTGTCCGCTATCGGACTCTCCTCTGTGTGTGCTCGAGGCTAAGATCCCAGACATGAGATGGACCGGCCCCATCGTCAAGTCGGCGTCTGGTGCCATGACGGTGTCTACGTGTTACAGTCTTGACGCGAGCCATAGTCTGCAAATAGAATTTCAAGAGTTAGTGCTAGCATATCTAGAATATAAGGCACAACATAAAAACATGTATGTCAGATAAGATAGACAAAACAAGATATCGTATGATTCTATGCAAGTGGCAGAATATGAAACATGCCAAACAATGTGAGTATGAAATGCATCCAATGTGGAATATCACAAGCATTGGGCATATATATGGTAGCATGAACATAAGATAAGATGAATAGAGTGTGTATATGAGATCTGTGAAATTCGATCGATCATAAAAAGAAATCAGATCGATCACAAAAGTTGGATCGATCGAAGGTTGAGTTGGATCGATCGCAAATATTAGATCGATCATAAATTTGTTCGATTGATCGAACAATGCGACAATGAAACTTAACAGTCACAGATCTGTGACTTTTGAAGAACGGGGTCCACACGAACGTGTTCATGGGCCCTATAACACATCAAATTAACAACTCTCATCACCCAAACATGGCCCATACTCCCAAATTAAACAAAAATATCAAAATATATACAACGATATACATATATATATATACATATACATATTTCAAGCATCAACAATGGAGGTTCAATCATATATAAAGCATGAATCAAACATATAAACCATGTATGCACAAGATTGAAGCTTGAAATCGACTAGTAAGGTCTCATATCTTACCCAAATCGAAGGGAGATGTGGATGCAAAGAGGGAGGGATGAAGCCGAGATCTGAGAGAGAGAGAGAGAGAGAAGCTTGGTTCTCGCCGGAGATGGAGGATATGAGCTAGGGGAGATGATTTGTAGTAGAAGGGAATGAGAGGCTAGGGTTTGATGTGTTGAGATCGATTCAAATGATCGATCTCAAGACCCTTGAATCTTTTTTTAAAAACATTTCTCGACTAGTTCGATCGATCGAAGATGAGTTGTGATCGATCAAACTTTGATGAACTCCTTTCAAAGTTTTTTTTTTTTTTAAATTAAATAATTAATTAAAAACTAAATAAATTAAAATATTTTTGAATTTTTGAAAACTTGTTGAAAATTGAAACAAAATAAAATGAGAGTGAAAATAGAATAAAATAAAAATGAAAATATTTTTAGATTTTTGAAAAGTTGAAAAGTCAAACTAAAGTTAAAACAATGAAATGAAGATTTGTGATCGATCGAAACAAGAGTTCGATCGATCATACAGAGAGCAAAAATATGCAGGTTTTTGGTTCAAAAATTTGGCTAAGTGTTGAAACATGAGATCGATCAAACTGGGAAGTTGGATCAATCGAAGAACTTTTAGATCGATCTTGGAATGTTTCGAACGATCAGACAGCGAGCTAAAAATATGCAGGTGGATGCAGGCTCAAAATTTTTCTAAGTGTTGAGGCATGAGATTGATCAAACTTGGAAGTTGGATCGATCGAATGTCTCTTGATCGATTTGAGAATTAGTTCGAACGATGGGACAGAGAGGTGATTTGGATGCAGAATCTGCAGGCTCAAAAATATTCTAAGTGTCAACACTCAAGATCGATCGAATAGGATAGTTGGATCGATCGAAGGTCCTATGATCGATCCAACTGAGAACTAAGATCGCAGATTTTTCTTGGATCGATGGGACAGAGAGCCTATTTGGATGCAGGCTGGAAAATTTTCTAAGTGTTGGATTCAGATGGAAGTTCGATCGATCGAACTCAGGTATGAGATCGATTGAACTTATGCAGAATGCTCAAAAATGACATGAAAGCTTATGCAATTCTCACCAAAGTTCCTTGAAATGCATATGAACCAAAAACAAGTATCTAGACTTCGCAAGAAATGAAATGAAAGATAGAAATGGGGGAGGAATAGGGTTTTGACACCCTACGAATGCTTTTGCTAGTCCTTAACGTCTCTAGCAAGACATTGGGCTCTTTTAGCCCGGATCAAAGATCTTATAATACATCCCCTCCTTGTTGGGGTGATGAATATCTTGAGCCCCACCCAACAAATTGTTCTTGGAAGAACTTGTTGGATCAAACTCAAAAGAAGTTTTTGATCCTTTGTCTATGCAATTACAACCTTTGGGCTTCCACGCCCTTTCAAAACAAGAGTTTGAAACAAGACTTTGAGAATACAAGGTTGAAGATGATCCTTTGGAAGTTTTGGTTTTACACGAAAGTTCATTTCCTTGACATTGGAGATCATGACACTTTTCTACAACATTGACCTCTCCTTCATATTTGTCAAATGAATTGGGTGTGGGATTAAAGATATTCAACTTCACCTTCATGTGGCCAAATGAAATCTTCATTATCCCCATCCTACAATTGATGTTGGCATTTGCGGTTGCCAAGAAAGGACGGCCAAGGATAACGGGAATTTGGCTCTTAGGATTAGAAACCGATTTCGTGTCTATGACAATGAAATCAATGGGGAAGAAGAATTTATCAATCTTAATCAAAACATCTTCAATGACACCTCTAGGCTTTTTAATGGATCGGTCGGCAAGTTACAAAACTATCGATGTCGGTTTCAATTCACCTAAGCCTAGTTTGACATAAACCGAGTAAGGAAGAAGGTTAACACTTGCTCCTAAGTCAAGAAGCGCCCGATTAATGATATGTTCACCAATGATGCATGATGTAGTGGGTGAACCGGGGTCCTTAAACTTTGGAAGAGTGTTATGTTACAAAATTAAGCTTACTTGCTCGGTCAAAACCACTTTTTTTGGTGCTTGGTTTTTGTTCTTTCGCTTTTGGGTGCAAAGATCTTTTAAAAACTTGACATAAGCCGGTATTTGCTTGATTGCATCTAAAAGTGGGAGATTAACTTTTACTTGCCTAAACATTTCCAAAATCTTATTGGTCTTGACTTTTTGCTTTTCTTTTGAAATGGACCCTTTCAAGGCATCCGGAAATGGAACCTTTGGTTCAAATACTTTTCAAAATTTTCTTTTGAACTCTCTTCAACACAAGAAGTTTTCGAATCATTTTGTTTCAAATCATTTTTTAACAAAACTTCTTTCTCAACATCATTTATCAAGACTTCTTTGTCAAACACATTTTTTAAAACTTTCTCATTTGCAAGATCATGTGTATGCAATGAAGGAGGAATATGATGTGAAACGGGACGGGTGACAACTTGAGGTTGCACCGGTTCACTCTCTTTATTGGACATTTCAACTTGATTGTCCACAGCTCTACCACTCCGCAAGGTAGTCACCGCATTGACATGTTCAATAGTATGCCCTTCCGATGAGGAATGGGTTTCCACAACACATTGTTGCTTAGGTAGGGCATTATTAGGCATCTTTCCCTTCTCTCTAGCATTAAGAGTGCTAGCTATTTGCCCTACTTGGGTTTCTAGCTTTGCAATAGATTGAGAGTGAGAATGAATCAATTGTATGTTAGCCTCTAAAGTGTCCAAAGCATTTAAAACTTTCTCTTCAAAAGCGGGACTTCGAGAATTACCTTGGGAATATGATTGGTTGGGAAAATGAGAATTAGAGAATTGATTCCTTGTAATTGGTATGGCCTATAACCTTGGGATCCTTGGTTTTGCATTGGAGGTGGAATATACTTCCCTTGAAAACTACCTTGGGGAGGGTTTGAGCCTTCCCCTTGGTTTTTCCATGAGAAGTTTGGATGATTTCTCCAACTTGGATTGTAATGAGTACCATAAGGATTGTTCCCTTGGTTCACAAAACTTACATTGACTTGCTGATAAGCGCCGAATATTACATATTCAAGCGCCCTTAATTGCATTATTTAAGTCCATTGTTTGTTTAATTATGTAGATTACCTTCATATGCACGTTTTTGCGTATTTTCAGGTTCATTGGCCAAAAAGAAGCAAGAAGGATGCATTGTGGAGTTTTGAACATCAAAGGTCACAATGCTGAATTTTTGGCAGCAGTGGAACCTGGACTATGCTCGCCATTTTGACCTTGAAAACCCGAGAACTGGACTTCCCTCATAACATGACATATTTAGATCTCTGAATCAGCTTTCCAAATATTCAAGCGGTTCATCATTCGGAGTTTGGAGCAGAGAGTTATGATCTTCTTATCATAGGTACTCAGAACTGCCTGGCAGCAATGAATTTCTGTCTTACTCTTCAATTTCGACCAACCATCCTTGAGAATTGGATCTCCACCAAAACATGAAGTTTTTAGAACTCTGAATTAGCTTTCCAAATCTTCAAACAGTTCATCATTTGGAGTTCAGAGCACAAAGTTATGGCCATTTTACCAAAGTAGGTCCGGGCGGAGCAAACCAAGCATAAGGCATTCTGGCCAATTTTCGAGTGCTCGAGGCCTTATTTCGAGTGCTCGAAATTAAGGCAGATTGCTTCACGAGATCAGCAGTGGATTCAGGACTTTGCTCGCC